TGGCGGAAGCGCTGTTCGTTGACAGATACTAATGCTGCCTCGCTACCAAGACATTGCTCTACGGGTCTAGTTCCCACATCCTCTCTCCCATCTCCGCGACATTCTCACACGACCTCTTCCTCACGAAACCATTCGAATCGACGAAACGAGCTACACGACTACCACAAACATCCTCACTATGGAAGAAGCTGCCCGGCTCCGAGGCTCCCAAGAAGGGCGAGCAGGCCAAGGCCAAGGGTGCACCTTCAACCTCGTCGTCCGGGATGGACTCAGATATAGAGAATCTGCAGAACTCCATCGCAGCGGCGACGGCATCGAAGAAGCAGTATGTTGACAATGGCTGGGTCATGGTGGCCATGACACAACTAACAAGGGTAATAGATCAAAGGTCATGGATAGGCCGCTGCCGGGCACCAATAAGAAGCCCACGGCGAAGGGGGCCAAGTCCAAGTTGCTGTCGAGCATGGCGTCATACGGCAATGGTGGCGGCAAGTCATCGCCCTCAGGGTCACCGGCTCTGGTAGCCGTCAGCTCACCGTCGATAAACCCTGTGTACGCTTCTTCGCAACAAATCGTCGAGAAGTCCAAGGAGCAAAGATCTATGATTGTACATGAACTAGCGGTGCAGGAGCGGCCGGCCGACTACTTGGAAAGCCTATGGGAAGGCAAAGACGAAGATTTCAAGCCTGCCCTGGAGAAGGTGGCCCAGTTCGAGCCGGATACGCAGACGTGGGCATTGAGAAAGAACTACTGGAGAGAGTTGGACGTGTGGAAGTACGAATATGATACCCAAGATACCCGACAGAAAGCGATCGACAACGCAATCCGTCAATTCGATAAGATGCGGCTGGCAACAACGGAAACCGAGTGGCAGAAGCTTTTGCCGCGGGAAGAGCGAGGAAAGGGCAAGATCCTCAGCAAGTTACAGGCAAATATCGCCAAGGCTTCCGCCGCACCACCTCCCAAGATCAAAGTCAGCGATGCGACAAGCGATAATGGCGACGAAGACGTTCTCAAGATGAAAGGCGGCGAGACAATGTCACGATCATCATCGAATCCGTTGCCGCCGAAACCGAAGAAGGCTGCCGACTCTCAGGTTAAGCGTCTCTTGTCCACGAACAAGAAGCCCACGACGCCCAAGGCTGCGCCGACGAAGGCAAAGGAGAAAGCAGCCCCAGCTGGCAAGAACGGCCGGGTTCTCTCTGCAGAGTTTGTGACCAACTCAGACTCGGATTCAGAGTCTTCAGAGGACAAGCCGATGGCGAGCATTGTGGCTTCCAAGCCCAGGCCAGCGCCTGCAGCTGCACCTGCCCCCAAGAGAAGGATCGAACATGCACTCCCACCAAAGCCGAAGATTGCTGTGCCCAAGGCAAAAGCCAGACCAGTTGAGAAACCTGTAGAGCGGACTGTGGAAAGATCAATTGAGAGGCCCAAGGAAAAGTCGCCTCAGCCTCCACGAGAGACTGCCAAGGCGGCCAAACCACAGCCTCCCAAGCGACAGAGGGAAGAGGAGGCAGACGACAGCAGCTCAAGTTCTGGCGCCCCCTTGGCCAAGCGTGCTAAGCCCAAGGCGCCCATCAAGGCGCCCGTCAGCCTCAAGCAACGGCCCGCAGAACCCTCACATGCATCATCCCGCAACTCATCTGGCGTCTCTCTCAAGAGCAAAAATACATCACCGGCCAAGTCATCGCCTTTGGCTTCGTCACCGCCAACGAACGCATCGGATCTTGAACACTCAGCACCACCCAAGAAGCGCAAGGCTATGGAATCTTCCGACTCCAACGAGAGCGCCCGGACCAAGCAAGCCCCTAAGCGTCAGCGCGGGCTCAGCCCCGACCTGGTCAGCAAAGCCGCGCGTTTCAAGGTGTTCTATGAAAAGTATGAGGCTCTGCACTGGGAGATTGCAGACATGCGCAACCCACCCGAGGACAAGATGGCGGATCTCCTCGACATGCGCCAGCGGCTAAAAACTCTCAAGATTGAGATTTACAAGGAATGCCCGCCTCCAAACAGCGTCCCCAGCAGCGCCCCCATCGCGGTCGCTTAGGGAGGGACCAAGAAGGACAATTGCAAACTGCTTGAACGGCCGCTTGCTAAGAGCAACGTATCGACGAAGAAGACGGCGAAAGAAGCCCCGGCCAAAAAGGCGAAGGCGCAGAAACGTGTTTTGGGATTTCTTTGGAAAAAGCGATAATTTTTCGGGACATCTCAAGAGAGTCCTCGACTGGACGGCCACTTGAAAGCATCAGCAACAGCGAAATGATTTTCTCACCTTTCCTTTTCTTTTCACCTGGGCTGGGATTGCATCATAGGGGACGGAACGGGCATTGGCGACCAGCATATAGGATTGCATGGACTCTGGAAAAAAAACCAGCCAACTGGTAAACCGTGGATGCGGGCCAGGAATATTTCCCTTTTGGAGATACTCACTTTCTTGTCTTCTTCATTTTGATCGATACCAGGTGGTAGTCAGCTACACAAAACAGAACAGTATCCAAATGAAAGTCATTTGAACGATTACATTGCCTGACTATGACTGGTTGATTTGAATTGAGACTACTAGTCCTGGTGATACCCGCAGCTTGAGTCGACAGCAGTGATGATGCGGTGTATCCTTACGAATGCTGAGAAACGAGGCGGCGGTTGTTCATACGGGGTGTCAACGTCATGACAGGACCCCCGCCCCCTGGCTGCAGACCTGCAAATCCTTGGCTGTTTGTCCTGTCGAAAACGGCCGTGCGCCTACTCCTTCATCTCTCCTCCATTTTCTGGATAATACGGGGCCGGATATCCGTACAGATACTTTTTCTTTTCTTTTTTGGCACGCGACGATTGCCAGGCTGGTGCTTTTCATGATTGAGATACTTACATTTGTGGAGGAAGAAAATGACCGATGTGATGATTTGCGAGGTTTTCTGATCTGATCTGACCTGACCTGCCTTTGCTTGCATCGTGACATGGAGGCGGCTTCCCAAAATTCTCACCCGTTGTTCCGCAGGACCAGCGGTAGTTTCCGCTTGGGAGGGAGGTTACGACTCCACCAGAGCTCCCCGCAATTCATTAAAATGGGTATTGAGAGATTTGCTCTCGGGGTTTGGGTGGGCAAAGCAAGAAAAGAAGAAGATGTGTCAGCGGAAATGGATTGTTCTAGTATTTTTGCTTGTTTTCTTTTTGTTCTTAGAAATCGGGGTTACAGGAAGATGAGTGCTTTGGGGGGGGGGGGGGGGGGGGGTGGAAAAAGAAAAAGGAGAGGGCGGTTGGGTTGTGTTGTTGTTTTTTTTTTTTTTTTTTTTTTTTTTTTTGTTTTGGGGGGGGGGGGTAGGGGGGGGGGGGGGGGGGGGGGGGGGGGGGGGGGGGAGGATCCCGGCTTTTGGTACTTTGCTTTCCTACATGGTAGAGACCTTCCTTACGTGAGCATTTTTGTTCCTCGTCGCTTCAAACCACGGGGAAAACTTGAATGTTTCTTTCGTGGAGGAGAGCATCTCAATAAGCTGCGTACGAGGCTCTCAAGTCTCAACGCCTCAACTTTTGATCCAGATCTTGTTGGAGATGGGGATAGGAGGGGGGGGGGGGGGAATCCAAGAACCTCACACATACCTACGCATGTCTCTCGATCTTGTCATTTGTTCCTTCTCTTTCTTTCTTCTTTCCCGCTATCCAGATCTAGTCTTCCCTGCAGGCAAACAAGCAAAGCCAGATGACAGATTGGGTTTTGCCCCATAAAGAGTTTAGCAGAAAATGAATTATCTCTAAGGCACCTTATGTGCAAACTTGGTGGTTTGCTTTGCCCACCCGCATCCTGCGATCCTGTCCTGCAGCAGGTAGGATCCCAATGAAGAAAGTGAAAACCTTTGGGGGGGAAAAAAGCAAATCAAAATCGGAATGTACGCCACCAAAGGCATCAGTGACCCTTTCCCTATGAAACGCTTTATCCGAGGTTTTTGTCCAGCAAAGAGACAGGAAAAGCTTGAATGGGCGGGCTTGTTCCTCTACGATCCTTCGATGTGCTGGTAGGCTGACGGGTATGAAGTCACAAACTTACCTTTCCTTTCCGTACCTACAAGTCACATTTCTACTTAGTGTACTCCGTAATAGCGGGGGGACCGGAAGGTGTGGGAGGTGGAGGAGGAGTCCCGGGTTTGCCAAGCTAATGCTCCAGCCTCCAGAACCCCCACACGTACGCCGGCGGCTCCCGGCCCGCCCGCCGTTGGGTTTTATTCCTATTTAGCCTTTCCCGGGGTCGGGGGTTGTCTGTTTTGTTTTGTTTGGAGGTGTGGCGGTTGCCACCCGGTGTCCGATGTTGTAATGTCACGAAAACTTTACCTGGGAGATCACACGTCATCCTTGGTCGGCTATGCCGCTACTGATATGCAATGCTCAAAAGCGAAAAAGGCAGGCTTGTTTGAGATGGGGTGGTCCATTGTGAAAGAAGGTCTCAGATTCTATGTGATTTGTGTTGAAGACTAAGCTGACTTTCAAGCATTGACAAGAGAAAGATGTACAGATTCCCTTCAGATATATGTCCGAAAAGCTAGTTTGCGGGTCTTCTCACTTATCTTGAGTTGAGGAACTCCGAGGGTGGAAATGCAAATAGACAGATAATGGTCCGGTACCTGAGCCTTATCAACAAGAAGGGCAAATATGCAGCATTGCCTAAACAAAGACGAGTGGGAACTTGCAAGATGAAAGAAAGGCGCAGAGAGCGGTTTGTCTTTGTGTCCAATACAATGCCAAGCTACAGAAAATCGACGTGCGGACTCCCGTTTCTCGACAGCTGAAGACTTCTTTCACATGATGGAAATCCAAGTTGTGGTCATCTAGCCTGAGAAGAAAGAAACAGGATCGTTCGCAGGATGGCAGAGTATCTCCAGCCATTCAAATATGTCAGATAGCTCCCCCCATATCACCGCTCCCAGCCGGAGACTCTTGGACTTCGAAAGGAAGCAATCTCAAGCTTCTGTTGCGAACCAACGTCACCAACAAGTTTGCCACAACGTGCAATGTCTCGTAACCTGTACGATCCTCCTTTCCACTACAGCCCACGAAGGCCCTACCCAGCGCGATACCCGCCGCCGCCCTCGCCGCTTGAGATTGAGGCATATCTCGCGCCGGACTATTACGTGCGGCCGCCGCACGAACGGGCATCCTCACCGACCATGAGCCCCTTATCGAGTGGTCGACACCGAGATGACAATTCCGGAGCCAGGGAACGCGGTCGCCGTCGAGGCGAAAGCAGCGAAGACGAAACTGAGCGCGTTCAGAAAGCCGTGGCAAGCCTCTCGCTCGTTCAGCAGGCTCCGCAAGACCGTGAGGCCGCTGTCCGGTCCCGCCAGTATCGCCTCATTCAAATCAGGCTATTGCTAGTTCAAGCACATGACCAGCTTGAAATTGCACACGAGGTCTACGACGCAGCGTTCCAAAAGTTCCTGGGGCAGGTGGAGAAAATCAAGGAGTCCGGCCCAGCGACAAGGAATCAGATATGGGTCGACATGATATCGAAGGATGCAGAGAAAGGCAAGAAGGAGGCGGACAGGGAAAGATCGCCGCCGCCGCTCAACTTCGATGCAGTAATGGCGCAGGTGGAGACATGTTTGCAGTCACTTGAAGGCGCTCAGATGAAGAACTCGCCGCCAGCTTCAGGCTTTGACGACAAATCACCAGACGCCGAGGGCCAATTCAAGGTGGTCGTTGACGCTGTCAGGGATATCGTCGACCTGGCCGCAAAGGCCCCAGAGGAGAATCTCGTTTGCGAAGATCTGGTGGAGCGCCTCGATAGAGCTCGGAGTCTGGCCGATACCACTTCTAACGTCTGGAGAGCCGTGCTATCTAAATTGCCGGCTAGAAGCATGGGAAGCACAAAGTCCAAAGATCCAGATTGGACCGCTAGTAACGAAGGGCAACAGTCGGGATCTTAGAGCCCGTCGTGAGTGATGCGGTAGGCAATGGTCAAATCCTAATGCGTCGTCGATCGCTTCTTGCTGGAATTGTACTGTACTGGCTGACGTGGAAGTTGGCGATTGGCGTCTGCGGTAAATGTGTCGGTCAAGGTCGGAGTTTGAGGTGAAGTAAGGGAAACATAGACTACATTGTTAGGAGGGCATATTTCTTCGTCAGTAGTATCCTTGGTTCACGAAGCCGAAACCGCAAAAAAAAGATGTATCTTACCTGAGAAGAAAAAAAGATGAAGCACCGTCCTCAACAGAATGATCGGAATTGAATTGTCAAGTCCCTGGCCAGCAGAAGCCAGCCAGGATCCAGACGCTGCGTATCGCACTCAAGTGCTCTGCACAATCTTTTCGCAACGGCTCTCCCATAGGGACACCGAGTCCAGAGCTCATCTTCCCCCTCTCCCCAGAGGGAATTAGGGTATACATGAGAATGGCCCGGGCCCTGCTTTTCTGATGCCAATTGCAGACGTGAAGTCACGCCAGACCCTCGCGGGCAGACCCGTCATCCCGCACTAGGCAGGCGACATTGGGTGAGTGGTGTGAAGAAGTTACTCCGAATTTCTCATATGCCAGTTTGGTAGAATGAGAGACTTCCGCTTGCGCGTACATCTCTCCGTTCGTAGCATAGAAACGCAGCGTTGAAGAGGACGGTGCTTGAAGAAGGGGAACAAGAAGAGGAGTCAGACTCTGCGCGGAAATTGGCGCTTTATATATGAATTTTTTGTGACGTGGGGTTGCAAGGGTCTTTGGCGGCAGCCTTGCAAATGAGGCTAACCAATCAGTGAGCTGGACTGGCAGGTACCTTCGGAAGGAAAGACCCCTCGAAGCAACCCCCCACCTGCCAGATCTGGATCCCACGTTTTATGGGTCCCGAAGCTTAGCGATAAGGATCCTTATCGCCCTGCCGCTGTGGTTCCTGCGTGAGGTCCCTTTGGTTTTGTATTGGCGATGGGGTCTTTGGTCAGGTCCAGACCGCTGCACAAAATTTCCGTGACGCTGAGGCACATGTCCCCCTTCTCACTTTCCCGTCGACGACGCACCTCTTCTGATCAACGTTATTGCTTAATTTTCTTCTCTTTTGATGCGAATTCTACCGAATTCAGGTGTTCATAGTATACGACTGCACGTAGATTCTTAATCCGCAATCATGATACTCGAACCGAAGGACTTCCCGCAGATGTGGCAAAAGCCGTCAAGTGATGACTTACTCAGCACACTGAAGCAACTGGAACTTAGCCCTCCGGTATGGAGTCACAAGCGCAGGCGATCTGATATCATTCATGAACAAGAGGCCACGGCGTATTTCCGGCGCGAAGTAACGATGTACCTATCGTCCATCATCAAGAGCGGCCTCTCCTGGATTGAGGACGATGACAAGAAGGAGGAAGTCTGGTCAGAGGCTAGCCGCAGGATGACGGAACGATGTGGAAGAACCGGTACGTGTTGACAATGACTGCTGCCTTCCCTGAACTGCGCAGCCTCTAATGCCGCACGTAGCCATGGGCGAGATTACTCGGCGATGGCCCTTTAGAGAAGAGGACCTCACGCCGACCTTTGAGCTCATCATCCGGGAGCCGCCCCTGACCGGCGACTCACTTGGTCTCAAGACCTGGGGGTCTTCTTACGTTCTCGCCAAGCACTTGCCATCTATTGGTTCGACAGCTCTCTTCCGGCTCTTTGACGAATCTCTGGGCGAGCCGCGGCCATCTATCTTGGAATTAGGTTCTGGCACAGGCCTACTTGGACTTGCGGCGGCAGCTCTGTGGAAGGCTCATGTAATTCTCAGCGACTTGCCAGACATCATGTCGAATCTTTGCCATAACGTCGAGGCCAACCGTGCCACGGTGGAGAAGCTGGGAGGTTCATTGAACGCTGGTGCACTTACTTGGGGTGGCTCAGGGGATGAGGAAGTTGATCAAGATCTCTTTGGCAAACGAAACCAGTTCAAGGTACGTGACTATTGAAAATTGCTACGGAGAGACTACTAATCTAGCCCATAGGTTGTCCTCGCTGCTGACCCCCTTTACGACGACTGTCATCCAGGGCTTCTGGCAGGTGCTTTTTCTGAGCAGTTATCAATTGCAGACGATGCTCGCGCAGTTGTAATGGTCCCGCTACGAGACGAAACCACCAAAAAGCTTCTCAAGGCTTTCCGAGATGCTATGGGAAGCCAGGAAAACCCTCTACTATGCATTGAGGAAGGAACACTCGATGGCCAGGATGACTGGGGTGAAGACAAGGAGGGCACCGACGTGACTTGTTGGTGGGGAATCTTTGCACGCAAGCAGAAAATATGAATACTAGAGGCGCAATCGGCGAAATGATCGAGTTTGAAGACGACTCAAGACATAGATTAGACGATGGATAATGGCATAGGCCAGCCCTCGCATTTTAGATTTAGATCTAGACAAAACAGAATTCAATGATAGGTGACTCTGATGCCTTGACATACAATAATCAGGTGCAACCAACTTCACCGTCCGTCCCAACCCGTTGCCGTGCCGCGTGTCCAGCTCACGGGAGGCTCCTTCCCCCAGGAGAACCTCCTTCCATCTTCTATGTATATCTGTGGCCCTGAATCACTGCCTCTGCAAAAATCACTCGTCCCTCCCTCTGAGAAAACTCGTGGATCACTCTCCTACGGTCCTTTCTCCTCGCTTCCTTACTTCCAAACTTCCAAACTTCACACAAATCTTCTTCCTCTTCTCACACACTGTCCCAAACAATCCAACCCAAGCTATCCTATCCACGATACACGGCCTCTCGGTATGCACCTGAGACACCTTCAAATACAGCAAACAAACGACTAACCTTAAGGATGGTTGGTCAAATCACCTATACTGAGGAAGAAATTATCTTCATTCTCCATCACAGCCTCGTCAAGGACAAGGATCATAAGGACACCTTGCGCGAGTACGAACAGCGATTCAGCAAGACTCTCACCATGGCTCAATTGAAATACGTCAGAGCCAAATATGGCCATGATCCTGAATTCGGGTAAGTTTCCTCCCTCGATGGGCCCTTTCACTATTACCTTTTGGCCTACGCCTCCCTTACTCTCTCCTTCTTTGCTTGGAAAAACGTGAAGAGTGCCACTTTCTCATAATTTTTTGGCAGCACGGCAATGATCAATGGACAGGTCCCGGACAATGGCGGTAATAGAAAGACTGCTGTTCCATCCCCATGGCAGTAAGTCGGTTCAGCTTCTCGGGAGACGTGACCCAAGTTACTAACTTTAATCAACTTAGGGAAGCAATGGTTGCACCCATCCAGTGCGAAAACGATCAAAACAATCAAAACGATCAATCCTTCACATCTTCTACGAATGAGGATGATTCAGTCTCTGAGGATCACATGCTGCAGGTCCTGGCAAGCTATGTATACAATTCTCCCTCAGAGGCTCCCGGGAAGCTGGCTTTGTCCTCCGACGAGGTACAGCAGGATGAGCAGGCGCGCATCGACGCAGAGGAGTATGCTGCTGCACACGAAAAGATTCTGCAGGTGTTCGAGGAGAATCCCGACCGCCCGTATGGTGTACAGCCTGTTCAGCAGCACTACGAGCAAATGCTCTTCCCTTCTACAGTGCAGAAGCGAAAGCGGGATGAGCTTGAGGAAGCGGGTGATGGATCGATCACAGCCCCGGATTCAGGCTTATCTCCTCCAGTGCTTGAAGGACCTCAAGAGAGCTTTCCGAAGCGTTTGAAGACCCAGCCGCAGGAGACATACTCCCAGGAGCTCCCTGCTCAGTATATATCCCCGATGCCAAACAACAACGCACCCCAGACGACCGGACATGATGATGAAGCGTTGAACCTACTCAATGTCAATCTTTCCGAAGTCCCTGTAACCCCCGAGAATCTGAGAATGGGCACAGATCATGTGCATGCGGAGAGAGACCCCAGTTTGTCACCCCTGACAAAGCTTCTCAATAGCATCGACAATGAATATCCTCAAGGACCAACAACTGACAGCTCGTTTTCCGCACAGCTCGATCGCCCGATGGACCCATCTGGCTATAGCACCGTCAACTTCGAGAATGCTATGTTCCAAGAACCAGATCCATCAGCTGCTCCCACGTGGACAGGGGCAGACCCAACGATGTTATCTGCGAGCCCCAGCCTCAACTTCTTCCAGTCCACGCAATTTGCGCCATGGGAAGCACCCTACAACGAGGAAGAGAGCAACTTCTGGGGTAACCAATCAGGCACCTGGCAGGGTGTGACTGGTTATAATACCGCACTGGGATTCAACTTAGATCTGCTCGTTCCACAGTATACCCAAACTTCTGCACCTTATGCATATGTTGAGTTGATGGCCAGTGGCAGCGGAACATACCAAGATTCCGGAGCCTTAATTTCTGCGCAGCAACAAATCGAAGGCCAGAACGTCGCTAGCTTCTCTGGCGGCATCAGCGTCGACTGGAACAACGTGAGCAATGCCGAGTGGGAAGAACTGTTCATGTACAGTGCAGAGCCACAGGGCCATGCCGACTATTCTCAGCAGTTCTTTGGTCCTCTCGAGTAGAGCTGCGATCCGCATTTTTCCTTCTTGCATACGATCTCTGAGTCACAGTTCACATACAATTTTTGTCGCCTAGAACGCAACGAAGCATCACATAACACCTTGCCTACTTTCCAATACGATACCCCCTTTCTTCCCTTTTTCAGCAGATTCCTCCTTTTCGACAAACTCCTCTTCGACAATGAACTCACCATATTTGGACCTTCGGTACGCAGGCACGGTAGCTTGCGAATAAATAGATAGGTGGTTGGTGGTCATTGCGACATAGACTATAAGATGATTTCCTCCCAGATTGGCCACAATATCCATTGTGACATGTAATGTAACGAACGACGCTCCCAGCCTGCCTTGTTCTCATAACGACATTGAAAAAGACGCACGATTTTCTAGCCTCCCATTGTCCAAGCTCCCAGCGCCAAAATCCGTCCACGATGGGTATCTAGTGCAGTAGAAACGAACAGACGGGCGCTCTCCCCCAGGTATGTTGTGTGTTGTTTTGCATGTTGTTTGTGTGTATGTGTGCGTTTGCTTGAAACTCTGGCCTCTCCAAGCAGACTTTTCTTCGCAATCGACCTACCCGCTTTGCTCTGCCTTGTGAGGGTGGTGAAGTAGGCTGTAATAGTGGTTTTCGTGGGGAAACCCCGAAGAACAATGCAGTTGGAAAAAAAATCAAAACAAGAGAAATGGGACAAGATTTGAGGGAAAGTAGGCGTTCAGACCACGATGGTTGTTGATTTCCTCGACTCGCCCTCCTCTGGTGGGAAGCCAAACACGAGCCTGTACAGGTCGCGCAAGAATATATACTGGCTAGATCTTTGGCTCATGTAGTGAACGCTTTTGGCCAGGTCATGCGCCGAGATACGTTTGCCATGGGCCGGAAGCAGCGAGGATCCCCTGAACGCCGAATCGGCATGCACAAGGTTCTTGTAGTACTGTAAAAGTGTCGAGTGCGCAGGCAAGGACCCGAAGGAGCCCGTGGGCATATGCTTGACAAAGGCTTGGAGAGCTGACTTCTCGGCTTTACTGTCAAGAGCCGGGTCTCGAGTAAAGCCAACGTTCATGGCAGCCTTAATGACGAGGGCTTTGATACGGTTGCTGTTGCTGTCCTCGCCTGCCGTAGTCGTTGTTGCCGTGCTTGATGTCTTGTTGCTGCTTTGCGAGTAGCTCGACAATTGCGAAGCGCTGCTTGACCACCGTCCCCCACGTCCGCTGTCAGATGTTGTGCCTAGAACAAGAATATTTGGCACTCGGGGTGAGGAGCTCTCTGGAGAGATCGGCGTGTCTTCAAATTCGGTCACGGGAGTTTCAGGAACTGGTGGCGGCTTCCGTGGCCGTTCCTCGGTCAGGCTTTTGTGACTTTCCCTCTTTGAGTATGATGATCGGTTCGACGCTCTGCTCTCACCTCGAGCAGGTTGATCATACTGCTGCTGATGGCCGAAGAAGCTCGTCTGGCTCGGTCGTGGGGTGTTTCGGTCTGGCCGCACTTGAGTCCACCCGTCTCTGAAGAGGTCGCAAAGCTCCCAGCATGCCTGTACCGCGGAACACAAGAGCTCCTCGTCAGGAGCTCTTCCGTCACGCTTATTCTGTCTCAGACTGAAAAGCATCTCGGCAAGTGACCAACACGCCTTCAACAAAGAGTCCGTCTCATCGGCCAATTCGCTTCGCTGTTTCATCAATCGATGGCAAAGAGTAATATAGAAATCTAAAGTACGCTCCCGGAAGGGTTCTGGGAGGTTCTGGATGTCCTGAGCGCTATAGAGACTGGATCATGGTTAGCTAATTTGTCCAACCCTTGTGGATCTCTGGAATGGACTCACTGGTTATTCAGTTCAAAACTGACTCTCAAAACAGAATCAGCAACTTCATCCTTCCTCTGCCGGACGTCGAAAAGGGACTGGCAAAAGTCTCGGCAATGATCGAGATTCTCTCGCACGTGGTGATCATAGTGGTCTTCGTCGCGGTTGTCATAAAGGCGCTGGCAAAGCCTCCAGCACGCCATCCAAGCTTTTTCGTGAGCATCGGGAGTACCTGAGCTATTGAACATCCGTGTTCGATGAATCGAGCTCAAGTTCGCTAACGTGTTACACAATGTCCAGCACTCTTGGAGAGCGGTTCGTAGAGCCCTGATTTCCGAATCCTCCTGAGGCAAGGCAGGGGTAGCGAAGGGCTCTTCGTCGTAATTTTCGGTATCGGTCTCTACTTCTCTAGCCTCGTCGATTTCTGTTTCGCGTTAGCCCATTCAGTCGTAGGATGAGTGTGTGGAATATACAAACTTTCAAGGCTGCTTGTGCTGCTAGACCTTAGCCGGGACGACTCATTAAGCATGTCGTGGAGGTCTTGCGCGCGTGGTGTGGCGCTGTCTAGACTGTACCGAACGGGCCGGATATCTGTGGAGAGAGGAGGTGGTGTAGGCAGTCCAGGGGATCTCGACTGTTCTAGCTCAGTACTTGAATGGCTTCAGGTGAAGCTTTTAGGCAGCCGTACCTTAATTGCATGATCAGTGACGGATGGAAGACTCATTGTATCGGTCTTGGGTGATGATCTCGTGCTGCTTTGATCCGGCTTTACTGTCGGCTCCGTAGAGGCCTGTCCCAAGGTTACTCTCTGCCTGTTTGGGAAAGAGTTTCCATGAGATACTTACCCAGCTATGGAAGCTTTCCGGCGCATGTATGACTGATACGGCTTCTTCACTGCTACTCTGCCGCAAATGATCGGGAATGTTGGTCGAGAGCATCATGAGCTACGATGGGTCAGTCACGCTGCCTGCCTTGGGAATGGCATCCAGAAGACTAACCTGAGGATGTGGTGCCGGATTGGTAACATTAGGCCGGGCCTGAACCTCCTCCGCCTCTTCGTCCTCGATTTCTGTTGTTTCAGTACCTGTTGAAGTGACTGGTGAAGGTCCAACAATATCGCTCGGGCTCATCAAGTTCAAATTTGTCGACGGAACTCTCTGAATGGAGTTGGGGCGCAGAGAATTGCGGCCGGAGTGATCTGAGGCGTTCGAAGACCTATACCCACATATAAGCTTGGGAACTACAACGACACCGTACGACCATAATTGCTTACATGCTGGCGAAAGGGGATTGAAAAGAACCGTTGTCGGGAGATGAGACAGACATATCGTTGTGATGGGAATAAGCAGATATTTGACTTCCGATAGACGACCGGAGGGGGGCTTCGAGTGCCATCGTCAGTCTCTCGACTCGTTCGTATGCGATAACCTTCCGGCACCGACGCAGGTAGTGATGGAAGTCGGCCGGGCTGTCCAGCAGACTGGTATTCGGCGGCTTTCAAAGTCGAGAATGCCTCGGGTGCCCCACGCAGTTTGCTTTCTGGTCGGTTGGGTCTACTCCTGGGCCGCACTGGTTAAATGGTGTTGGTCGTGATCCTAGAGGCCGTCGAGGCGAAGGAATAAAGCTGTGCTGGAAGGTCTCGTAGACGACGGCCCGGAGATCATCAAGCTTCCAGACTAGCGATAGAGGCTCGAGAGTGAAGAAGCTCGAGAGCGAGAGGGTGGGGAGGGCAGTTTAAGAGGAGCTGTGCCTACTGCTACCTCAGTGCTGGGAAGAGTAACGGTACGGAGACCGGGGTGGCTCCAGGCCGACCCTAGCTGACCGTGTCTGTGCCTCGCTCACGCGAAATATCGACAGGGCCAGGTTTGGTTTCGCTGCGTCGCGGCGGGTCTACTGTGACAGCAGGGGTACCCAAATAGCGATCCTGACGATTGAAGGGACAATATATGGGGAAGGCAAGTTGGCTCAACCTGGGGGCAACGCGACTACGGCCTTGCTGGGAGAGAATTGGGGAATTTCAGAGGGCCAGATCAGGCTGAGAGCTGTACGTTCGTCTCTGCGACCCAAGCTTAGGTAGGTATGCTGCAGTATGCCCGTCTCTTGGGAAGGGCGGTTGAGAGAGAGCTGCGGCTAAGATTCGACCAAACGGGTGACTAGCACGGCTCCACTGACGGCTCCGTCGTCTATGCGGTCTCGGGCAGCTGGGCAAGAGAAGCGAAAGTTGACAGAATGGAAAAAGCAGATAGACAGACAGAAGAAGAGCAGGCGACAGCTGATTCGAGACGGCGCGGTTGATGTGGATGTCCAACGTCCACCGTACAGACACCCGGCAGGTGGCACGGAGGCGGGCGGTTCGGTGGTACGGGTAAAGAAAGAAGCCAGCTCTCCAACGGAACGGCGAGAAATTGTTATGATTTGCAGGGAAAGATGACCACCAGCAGTAATAAGAATGGGTGTTCTCGGTGCTTCTCAAGGAGCAAGACAAGCTGGATTTGAGTTGTGGAGGAGAGTCAAGTCAGAAATGTCAGAAATTTGTGTGTTGTCTGAATGGTTGACCTAGTTCCGATCCGCCTTATGGACAGGCACCTCACATGGGAATGAATCAGAAGGGGGAGACCAGAAATGGATCGTCGTAGCGTTCGCTGGCAGTTGAGCAGAGGAGAGTGATCCGACAGGACGAAGGGAAAGAAGGCTAAGAAGTCAAATCGTTGAAGTAGAGAGGGCCGAGGTGGCCAGAAAGAAGAGAGGTCCGCGGGGTGGGATCCAATCCGCGAGCTGGGTCGGCCGCACCTCAGTCGGAGACAACCACCGCGGTACCACCACCATCTTTTGCGCCTTCTTCGTTCCCAGGAATACTAGGATACACCATTCTCCACGAACTTGAGCCAACCTTAGTTAAGGCAGGCACCGGGCAGCATGTACATAGAAGGCGATGGATGAACCAGTCAGAGATGCAGCTGCGCGTCTTCTCCCATGGGCATAGCAGCGCACCTCCTGACGGGTTCAACCAGTCAGAGTTGGGCACAAGGTGGTGTCGGTGGATGAGAAGAGCGACGTCGAGCTGTGGGCTGCATGAAGCAGACAGGCGTCGGCGCTTAGCAAAAGGTGGGTCTCGCTTCCGTCCAGTCGTGCCCGTGAACCACAACCGACCCCTGCACTTGACGGCCCCACTTAGGACGGAGGGGTTTGCCTTACACTTTGGAGGGG